AGGGAGGGTCTTGTTTCATGGACTCTACGACATCTGTTCTCTCTCTTTTGTCCACCTCCCTCCTTTCTTTCATTGAACTATAAATGCCCCCCTACCTTGGGGAGTGGTGAGCTGTGGATGGAGCAAGGAATGCAGGGCTTCCACTTGCTTTTCATTAACACAGGATCTGGTAACACACCTCACTGTCAACCTAATCCCCTCTCTCTCCATCTTGTCCCCTGGCAGAGGGGGGCTGCCATGACCAGGTACAGAGCCCCAGATGTTCCACGGATGAGGGAGGGTGGATGACAGCTATGGATGTACAGTGATGAAGACAGGGTGGGATGGGGTGAATGTAATGACATATATTGAAGAGACCCAGCCTACTTGCTCACACAGTGCAGTCTGCCTCTGTTGTGTTTCACCCATAACACTTCTTTCTCTTTGTCTCCCTTTATGTCTTTTTTGTCTTTCTCCAATTTTTTACTTTTTCCTCAAATGCTCTTCTGTCCCTTTTTAACCTGTTAATGTTTCCTCTCTTCTGATGCTTGTTTTTTTCTTTCCAATGTCTGTTTGTCTCTTTGCTTTTCATGTATTTGTCAGGCGCCATGCACAAAAAAAATTATCTCATAGAAGTAATGAAGTGTTCATATTTACAGTAGCTACCAGCTAATTTCCAGCAGCAGCCCCGTCAGATAGGTACAATACTAAATATAAAATACAAATGCATATCCAAGATACTCAAAAGACGTGATGATCAAATATACACACACACTTAACCCAAAAGCACATACCCACATAAATGCACACAGTAAACACATACTCCTCCATTTAATACCTAGAGTACCCCATCAGTATGTAAACGTAATATAAATACTAGGCTAGGAACAGAGATGTCAGTGCCTGACTAATGTCGACAATCCTGGCTCATTAAAATCCATCCATTCCGATGACTTCTTTTTTCTGACTCCTCCCCTTCCCTTACATTTCTTTCATTACACCGACCTATTTTTTTCCCTCTCCCTCTACTTCTTTATCGTCAAAGCCCTTTGCTTCCCCTCTTTCACAACCTTTCCTTCCCCTTTTCTTCCCTCTATTTTGTTTTTCCTAGCACACTGGCATCTACAGGATTTGGTCCATCAGTCTCAGCTTGCCACTGAGGACCAGCAAAGCAACAACAGCAGCAACAGTAGTGATACATACTGTAGCAGTAGTAGTACTACATTCTCCTGTCTTACATCTCTCATGTACAGCCTCTCCCAGGGGGGTAATTCCTGCTGACTTATTGTGGCAGCTCAAAGGCTCAACATTACAGAACGAGAATCCTAACCTTTATCTCTGGAAAATTCCAAGGTATCCATTTTCTAAGGTACGGAGCAGACCAGAGTGGTGAGTGATGGAGGCAGTGCAGCTAAGGCTAAAAGTCAGCAGATACATCTATTGTCACTAGTGATCAGTCTGTGTAATTGGAGACAGTTTGTCTCCTTTCAATGGCAACAAATCTGGAAACACTATGTGAAGAAGCCCTGAGGGAAAATGGCTGTGTGTGTTGTGACAAAGATCTATACGGGTACTTAAGTTGTCAACAAAAAAAGAAGAAACAACTGGGTGAGACAAACATGTTATTTAGAAGGCCAGCTTCTGAAATTTGCTTTAAAATCTTTACAACCTTTTCCCATACAAATATTATTTTCATTGTGGGCCTTTGGTGCAATGTAAACTCTCTTCTCTTCCACTGTCAACATTTCCAGGTGTTACTCAGATGCTGCTTCAACATGTGTTCAGAGATGAGGCACAGAAATGAAATATCAGTTTCTTTAATGAGACCTACATAGAAGATTTGAAGCCTCTCAGGTATTACAGAGAGCACTCAAATATGATATAAGAGGCGCTGAACAAAATGTCTGCAGCACATGATGACAGCATTAGTTTTATGGCAGTTATTATAATGTCTTGTTCAGAACAGACGTGCATGGTATTATGTTTTTTGAGCCGTAACAACAACCAGTTTTTCAAGTGTTCGGAGCCAAAATGAGGATGATATGATCCAGTGGCTGTCAATAAACACCAGCGGCCCTCATCCCAACAGTTTTATTTGTGTCCAGTAAGGCTGCAATGTCTTGAAAGCAGCAGCAGTGGCTCGGTTTCAATGTGCTGGTAACTGTGAGTAAAACGATATCCACATAAAGGCACTACATATCAATCTCTACTGTGCTTCCTGTGTTTATTGTAAGGAAATCAAACAACTACTGTTAATAAATTCTTTGAAAAGCATTACTGTGTGCAAAAGAAAGAGCAATCACTATAAATAGTACAGTCAGGGAGAGGGTTAGCTTTCACATTAGCACCATTGTCTCTAAAGTCTGTTTCCATTGCATTGCACACAGTTTCAATTGTGTTTATCAAAGACAACACATCAAAGATGGATGAAAGCTGAAAAGCTGGTGAAAATCTGAGCAGGGCAGCAGTGCTGAGTATTGTGTCACCGTGCAGTTATGCAGATTTGAGTAAACAAAGTGCAAATTGTTTGAGGTTTTAATTAACATTTTTGACAATCATTTTATCTGAAGTAACCCTATATAAGAACATCTGTAAAACAGATGCAGGCACTTAGGGAGTTTTGCTCCAGCTCTGTCCTCATCATCTGCAAACCCAGTCAACAGAGGATGTGTTGCTTAGTGGCACTGAGATAAAAACCATCGACTTGCAAAACAATGAGTTAAAGTCTTCTTTGTTATCTGGCATGTCAGCCCTTTACTCTCTTTTATCCTTCTGTTTCCATCTACTGTCCAACTTGATGGACAAGCCAAAAAATAGCAAAAACAGAAAAACAAACCAAGATTCCCAGATCATCTGTCACACCCAGCTGCAGAGAAAAATTGGAAGCTTTTTAATTTACATTAGCATTAGCAGTTCTGATTGTCATAATGGAAACACTGTGGTGCCTCCTGGATAATAGTCAGTGTTTATGAAGGCAGGGTTTGGTCTTAACACGAAAACAAACATCTTTTCCATGTACACACATACATAAATGTATGAAAATATATTTTTCTCAGGTCCGAATACACACATATCCGTGTAATCAAATGCACACACAGTCTCACAACAACTTTATATCCAAGACTAACACAAACATCTCACTTTACAGTTTACTGACAAACCTTGTTTTTGGCAGATGAGGGCTTTGCTAGCACATGCAAAAAACAGCAATATTCCAAATAAGACTGAAAGCACCACTGCTATTCGGTTCACAAGCTTTCGCAGTGTAAGTGAATGACAGAATGTCAAATCTTCCAAACAGGCTGACACATCACATATTACTCAACAAGGGTGGAAAGTGGAAAGTTTGACTTAGTGCTATGCAGTGAAATACTGATCAATAAATACTCAGAAACTACAACTCTTAATATAGACCTCTTACAAAAACTTTTTGGATCCTTTCAAGTTTTCCACAAATAGTTGTTTCCAATTAATCCTAAAATAGTTTTGATTCTTTTTTTTTCTCTCATCAACACAAGACTACACAATGACAAAACAAAAGTAGGTTTTTGGCATTTATCAACTTATTAAAATAAAAACTGAAATATCCTATTAATGTAATTATTCAGTTCCTTTGTTATGACACTTAAAATTGAGCTCTGGTGCATCCTACTTCAGTCAACAGTCCCTTAGAGAGTTGTACAGCCTGATCGCAGTCTAAATGAACTGGACACAAGCAGAACAGGCACACAACTGTCTATACCAGTCAGTCACAACATTTAAACCGCCTGCCTCAAACTGTGGTCCCCCTCATGGCACAGCTCTGACCTGTGATGCATGGAAGCCACAAGTTCTCTAAAGGGATCATGTGCTATCAGGCATCAAAACATTAGTAGGACATTCTATAGGTCCTTGAAGTTGCGAGGACTGGACTTGTTTTTTCAGCACATCACACAGATCCTCAATTGCATTGAGATCTAGACAATTTGGAGGCCAGCATCTTAGACTTTGTAATATTTCACAAACCATTGCTGAACAAATTTTCTGTGTGGTGGGGGGCAATCTCCACATTATAGCATGATACAGAACAATTTGTTCTCCAATGCATTTTTGTAATGGATATTTCAAGCTCTGTGTAACTGTACTTTACTTTCAAAGGGCCTGGATGGATTCCTGTTGGCCCAAATGGTAAGTTTGGGTACTAGACAAATGACACACCACAAAAAAGCATGTACACTTAGTGTAGTGTATTACTGGGTCTTAAAAATGTGGTTACTTTAAAAGATGCTAAAATCTGCCAAGAGGGATGAAGTCATTACAGTTGTTTCCAATGTAGCTCCACCTGTTTCAAGAATTTCCTCGAAACAAGTGGCAATATCTTGAAATATAGCAGAATAAGATGGATCACATCACCAATTTAATGTTTTTTACTTTTCACATTAAGAAACAGCAACAATGAGTCATTTCAGGTCTAGGCCCTCATTACTTTGAAGTGATACCACATGGGTTATTCACTGAGTTTAGTTAAGTCTTGCTAAGGGGTTGGAGGAAAGATAAAAAAACAAAACAATACTTCAACAACCTAGCATAAGAGGTCATATAAGCAAGAGATAGCTATTGATATCTTATTAAACAATGATTTTAAGTTCTGCTTTCCCATTGAACCTCCATGATGACAATATAAAGTTAAGGTGACAGCTCAGGTAATACAACACAACTTTTTCATTAGCTGGTATAATTTGTGATTACTGATGTACAACTTCAGAAGTTACAAATCTACCATTCTGATTGAAACATAAAGGTGAATATAGGGTATATGAGGGTTACAGCTATGACAATTAACATTTGACTGGCCCATCATCGTGACAGCCAGCAAAGTACTTAGTGACTTCCTCTGGTAATCAGTCAACTGTGAATTAATTAGGCTGATTACATTCAAGGTGCTTGTGCTCCTTGTACTGCTCACATGTCTCTTCCCACATAATCACTATCTTTTTTTTTAAAGCTAGGTAGTTAGTTAAAAAAGAGATTTGTTTACTCACCCTCTATCCGAGGACCGGACTTCATGTTCAGATTTCCTGTCATGGCCGACACGGACACTGTCATGCTGGGCTTCATTGGATGGGCCTCTGTCTCCATGACTACTACAATCTGGGCAGTGTGCAGGGAGACCTTGTGGAAGGACAGCGCCATGGCCCGAACACTGCTGGCTTTACCCACGGAGGATGCCTGATGGTGTGGGTCTGAACGAGGAGAAAACCCCCTGTGCAGTGTCTTTGCAGGGGACGAATGAGGGGTTGAGGAAGCAGATGGTGGTTTACTGGAGGGATCCCACGTTTGGTTTGGTAGGACCATCTTCAGATAGGCTTTGGCCTGCTCCAGCTTTGCCAAAGTGGGATTGATTTTTAGGGGTCGTGACAGTTCAATATTCAGCTCAGCTGTGGAAAGAGGAAGACAAAATGAAAAATCAGCAGAAAGTTAGAGACAAGATAGGACGTAACAAACAGACAAAATTGCGGAGAATTACTAATACTTTGCTGTCAGCAAAACTTTACAAATAACCTCTGTGGACAGTTTTTGAGTAGGCTCTCTTTAAAGACGGGAGGAAGTCTTGTGCTCATCCAGACTTGTGTTTATGAAGTGCTGAGTGAAGAAAGAAAACTAGGCAGGAAGAAGGGAGACTAAAGCTTTTGGGAAGGTAATAAAAACATAACTTTATTGGTGGGAAAAAACAAAGTGCACTCAGCAGTACAACAAGTCTTCCCAGATCTCTAATCTCGGAGTCTTCTGTGTGTGTTCTTTTGGTATGTGTGAATGAAAAATTCATATTTTTGATACATTTTGTGATGAACTGTTTAGTCTTCATTCTTTTTTAAAGGAGGACCTGAAACTATGTCACACTGATGATGTAAATTGAATTCATTTACTGCCGGTTGGGGCCCTTGCTCTTAAAATCCTACTCTAGATATTTGGAAACACACCATAAACTGGACACGTTCCATTTGGGGATTTTAAGACAAGACAGGCTTCATCATTGTCCCAGTGAGAAGATCTTGAGCTATCTAACCCATGGATGCTACATCGGACCATGTCTTGTAAATCAAACTTTGAGCTCTTCTCTTTTCTTCTAATCACTCAGCTTTGCATGCAATGAATTGTTAAAGGACAGCTGGGACCAGTCTCAAGCTCTTTCTCTTCATCTTATATGGGCACATATGCGCACACACAATTACTGGTTGTTTCATTGTATCATCTAACGTGACACTGCGGAATAGCAGAAGAGAATCTTTCCTTCATGCCAGCCACATAAATCCAAGCCTACTCTTTCCCGTTCTACCTCTCTCTCACTTTCTGGTGCACTGCAGCCTTCAAACACTTGACTGGAATTTACAGAGACACATGAATTAACTCAATGCCGTTTTACACCACTTCCATTATCCCATTTTTCCACTTGGTCATGATGATGGGAGAGGGAAGCGGCCGAAAACAAGCGCAGCTGTTTTTCATGGTCTCATCAAGGCCCCAGTGTTTAGAGGCTTTTTAAGGGTTTTAGGCCTCCTGTCTGCCTCCTTCCCAGGTAGGCGCACTGGATGACATGAGTGGGAACACAGCCAAAAGAGGCAGGCAAGCATGAGTACACACACACACGCACTCGTGTACACACACACACACACACACACACACACACACGGGCGCGTACACAGATGCACTCTACCCTCAGGATTCTTTCTCATTTAATCCAGTGGAAGTGAGGCACATGGTCAAATGGAAGGAGGGCTGGAGAGAGAAACTGGAGAAAAGGATAGGTGGAATTTGCTGTGCAATGTAGCTTATCATTTCCACTCGACTTATCACCAGGAGACTTTCCAGTGGTGGAATAAATAGCCCGTATGCAGCTCTCCATCCAGGATCCTCTGCTTCCCTCCTATGTTCTGTCACCCTTTCATTCTCTACCCCCTCTGTTTCGTGTAGCCCATATTACTGCTTCCTCTCTCTTCTTCAGTCCTTTCTATCTTTTACTTTTCCTCCACCCGCAACCTAATCAAACTCTCCCCCCTTCTGTAATCACATAAAGATGTCTCGAATCACCCAGTCAGGGCCAGTGCCGGAGCCTGGGCTTTGCCTGGCTCTCTGCACATGGAGACCTGGTCCCGATTATCATTTGTCCTCCCTCCTAAAGTTCCTTACTGCCCCCACCTAAAAAAAAGTCATCCTGCCTCTGCTACCCAGCCAAATCTGGAGCAATGGTAAGGAATTTATTACCTGTTTAACCCATCTGAAACTCACCTGGCCTGAGTGAGCAGTGGAGCCGATGTCGCTTGCTATAATCTTCATTTTTCAGGACTTCTAAGTTATCGCTGTTGAGAAAATTGCCCTTAAACCTTTAGCAGCTACAGATCTATTGATGACATTTCAATATGTTTGGGATTTTTATGTATTCATTTATTTTTAGGTTCCCAGTAAGAGGGAGCAACAACAGTTAGATTCAGTGCATCTCGGTGACTCAGCAGGCTGATGCATGCACAAAAACATTCAAAAATAAACCAAGGTACAGCGTGATTCCATAAATCTGAAGAAACAGAGAAAAAGGTAAGGACCATGCTTGAACAGCTCTTTGCATTTGAGCGTTTTCCAGGGACATTAAGCACTTGCTTGCAAAACAAACAACAGTACATCAAGATGTTCAGACAAACTCCTTGTTGACTGCATATTGTTTGAGCTAGAATACTATAATTTGTGTGTTGCTTTTTGTGAGCTTCATAAGTTCAGCTACTTTACCAGTTTTCAAAAATTACATTGCTTCTCATGACGCAACCTCAGATATGGAGATCCAGTGGGAAAAATATAAACTCTATATTTAAGAATTGTTTAAGGGACTGATCGGTCAGTTAAAGAGAATTTCTTTCTGTACAATGTGAAATGATTGCAGAATAACATGTATCTGGATTTTAAGTTGTGTGGACTCAAACAACTCTCCATGGAGGCCTCTGGAAAGGAAGTGGGCCACAGCATCTGTACAGCCTCTCACCAGCTTTCTCCAACAACTGATGGAGTTCATTTTTTCTGCAGAGGAGCAATGACAAGAGATGATTTTTTTTTTTGCTAAATTTCACATAGAAAAAAAAATCTAATCGCAGCATTACACAGCCACATGTTGAATACATCTGTGTCATAGCCCCCAGTTAATTTTTAGAATGTGCTCCATGTGATTTCACTATCCAGGCAAAGAAGACATAAAAAGAGAAAGTAAAACCTCACAACAGGGGAAAAAAAAATCCCAAAACACACAAACTATTTACAAGCCATGACAGACTTATAGGTTTTACAGACTACGCTGCAAATTCTATATTTATGGATACAGTTTTAACATAGTACTATGATAAAGACTTCTCTCAACCATATGCAATGTAAAGTGAAGGAAAAAATATAAATGCCAATCTTATTTAACGCTGCTTTAAGTGTGCCAATTGTGCTTTGGGGTGGTGAGGAGAGACTGGAGATTTTCTTTTTGCAACAAATAACTGAAAGAAATATGGTGGCACTTTCATCACCAAGTGGTGGAAGTCAAAAGAGGACTTGACCAGCAGTGGGATTCTCACACACAAGTGTTTTCACTGGAAACAGTTTGACTTCGGCCATAAAACTAACAACTATTTTAAGCTGGAGACTGTCAGTGGAAGGCCTGTGCAAAGAACGAGCATCAAGTCTGGAGGTAGAGAGGTGGTGTTGGTGTTCGCATACCTTTAAAGAACAGGCCTTAATGTGAACAGGCTGGGGGGAATCACAGACTGACCCTTCTCAGGTGTCAGCCTCTATTAGTGCTGGAGAAAGTGGAAGATCAAGGTTTGACAGAGGTACATACACACATGTACATATCTCTGCAAAGTAGTGGGGGGGATCAAATATGCTTATTACCCAGGTTACTGTGCCTTTTTGGTGAGGTCATGCATGACGCCGTCCCCACTTTGAACCTGGTGTTAGGTATATGTGTGTGTGCAACCACCACAAACACTGTTTTCATTCCCACCCTACCTTTGATTTCTCTAGCTGACTTTCACGCTTGACTCTTGACAGCAGAAAGCCTGTGTCAGACACAGGTGGCAATGTGTCCAATTACATATGCTCGTATTTGAAAGGCATGTGTGTGTGTCTGTGTTCGGAAGGGCCAATAATATTTTAAGGAGTGTTTGTAGAATCCCAGTGTTACAAAAAAAGTCTCATACCAAGTAAGGCCAGTGACACGTACCTCAGATGCCATCTGACTCAAATTACAGAGGTTCTGGACGGTTCGGAGGGGCACACGCTTGTATACAGTAACTGACAACATTTCTACGAACTCATAGCTTGATGGGAACCAGGGACACAGGAGTGTAATGGTTCCAATTTGTTCTAGCTAATCTATCACCTGCTGCTTCTCTGTAGAGGGAAGGGTGATCTCTTGCCTCCAAATGGTAGCAGTTACATCTCTGGACTCGCTCACTGACCCTCTCAAAGACTAGGAATGAGCAGGAAAGATGAGAAACGGAGGGGAGGAAAGTGTGTGAGTTCTTGTGTTTTCACTGGTCAATCACTGAAACCATGTTTGTGTAAAAAAAAACAAACCTACCCTTGCCTTTTCGTGTATTTCATGTGTATGCTGGTCAAGCCTTGAACTCTCCAACTTCTGAAAGATCTGGCTTCCTGTATGCATCTGCATTAGTAGTGTTTATGTGAGTTTGTGTGTGTGTGTGTGATGAGCGGCTGCTGAGTGAGGGTCAATGCTGAAACACCATCCAGTTTACAATACACATGTTACAAGTGTTTCCCACTCAGCATCCTTGGGAGGGCTGCTTTGATTGGTCTTGCAGAATAAATGCTGCTGAAATTGCGAGCATATTGCTGTAAACAGACGGCAAGACATGGCCTCATGGCGGTCTGCTCTCCGTTTGCGCCTGGTTGAAATAAATCAAATGTGAAGCATTGTCGAATCAAAGTAAGGCCGCCAAACATGATACATACACATCACAGCACACGCACAGCAACAGTTATAAAGACTTGCACATGCAAATAAACCATCTGTAAAAACAGCAGGGGAGAGATGAATAAAATGCTGACTACACTTTTTCTTCCTGCTTCTGTCTTTACCTATCCTTCCCCCCGCTTTTTTTTTTTTTTATTTTTTTAAACTTCCCCTTGTTTTTGTTTGATATTCACATTAGGTGAATCAAACAGTTTAACTCTGATTGAAGGCATCAAAACACCTTTTGAGCATGTCAGGATATTACTCAAATCTTATTACAGATCATGACATTTCAGTTAAGAGCGTAGACACGACTCCTGTTCGTCTCTGTACTGTCTAAACAAAGGGAATCAGTATATTCCACAAAAATCACCACTGGTGCATGGATTCTATTGCTTTCTGTAACTTCTACCCCATCCCTGAAGAGTATAATTATCTTCCCCAGAGAGTCATCGAACTAAACAACACAAAGTTGAAAATGTAAGTGTGTGTGTGTGTGTGTGTGTGTGTGCGTGCATGTGTGTAGGGGTGAAGGAGAACCAGTAGCATGTGTGGTCAATTTTAGATATTTCCAGCAGAGTCTGACCTGGGGCAACCTCACACTGAGCCTGGATCCTGTCTGAGTCATTTGGGAGAGTGTTGTTTGTATGTGTGTGTATGTGGGGAGAACGAATGTGACTGATTATGATTGAAGCTATCCTACTGAGACGAGGATGGCTCTGCATTTTACTAGTTCAAGGGAAACACCTGACTGTAATTCCACAGTACTGGCATGTGCACTTCAACGGCACTCAGGAATCCGATGTAACCACAAGATAATGTGAATTATTTTTTGACATATGACTGTTACTCTCTTTAGTTAAATGGGAAAAACATCCTACAAATGAATTAGTCAAAGTTACAAAATCAGCACTGAACATTATGCAACTTTGAATAAATAAGTGAACCTGAGTCTATTTAAAGCAGTGTTAGAAATTGGACTGATCTTTTTTTCCCCCCATCCCCTTCCCACAGGGAAATCAGAGATCAGTATTTACTTATGTTGAAGGACAGTCTCTTTCTATCCACTCTTCCAATCTGCCTTTCCTGTATTAGCTGAAAACAATCATATTAAGCATGTATGCTCTGAACCTGGCTAAAACTCTGATGTAATTCATGCCTCATGAAAAGATTATTTTGTTTCAGTTTTTCTGCTGGAGTCATCTGGTAGATGGACATGGTAGTATATGGCTGAGCTGTGTGATTGCTGGGTTGTACAGAAAGCTACATTGTGGTGTGTTGTGTGATTCCACACAGACAGAGAAGCTGAGGGCTTTCAGCTGACAGCAGAAAGTGATGTGTGTGGGGGCAAAGCAGCTACATGCTTTGCTAAGCCATCATCAGTAACACCTACAGTTCACCCTGGCGCTCCTTCTTGTATACATGCACAGGATGTGTTCGTGATTGTATGCATGTGGAAGAAAGACAGCTTATATGTCAAAGTATGTCCATAGTTAGGTGTCAGTGTGTATGCATCTGCAACATCTGGCCTGGGTTCAGGGAGCTGACCTCTGAAGGATGTCCTGCGCCTACACACACTCTCAATGAAACCCTCATAGGGATACGAGGGTTGTGCACACAGAGACTCAAAAACCCACTCACACTTTTATTCACTGCAGTTGTATTTGGGCAGGATGTAAGCCACACCCTTAGGTCAACAACCTTAGCTTAAAGCTACTCATATGGATATCATATCAGTCTAAAAATAGAGAACCCAACCCTTTGAAAGGCAAATTCACAGGAACTTGACACTACACACACTTACGCACACACTTAAATCCACAGGAGCTTGTAGTCTGCTGTTCAAAGTGTGTGATGATAGCAAAATTGGGAGCTTTCAGAAGCAAACATCCACAATGTCATTTAGGTTGCTCATCATGTGCACATACAGCAGAAAAGAAGGCCGCTGTGTGCTTCTAGTATGTGTTTGTTTAGTGGTCATGTGAGTGCACTCCTTCTGCTTTCCAGCAGTGGACATTTCCCATTAAAAGTGAATACATTTGAAATAGACCATGTAAATAGTAAGCAGCATGTTGGTGCGAGTGTAGAGAAGCGTGTGTGTGCATTATTTCCACCTGGTCCATTGAGGAAATCTTTGATCTGGAGGCAAAGCAGAGGGGGAGGGATGCCCGTTTTACTGTCCGCCTCTCCTGCTACTGTCTGTAGCCAAAACACATTGTAGTCCAGAGATTCTGGCAGAGTCTTCCCTGGGTCTGCATGAAATCAGGCAGACAAAGAGATAAGGAGAAAAAAAGATGAGGAAACGAACATTGAAAATGGAGGTTAACAAGACAAAGAAATGCCATCAACACATTTAACATTAGAGGCTTTTACATCTACTAGTATGTTAATATTCCTGCCAAACTGTTTTCTCACCGAGGCACTTGTAATCAGAGGCCACCCCTCTTAAGGACACATCAAACACGGACAGCTCCATCCTCTGCTTGCGATGGTGGCAGCTGAGCAAAGCAGAGGGTTGCATCACTTGGAGGTACAACAGAGGCTCCAACACCTGGTCCCCAGCCCCTCTTCTTCCTGGCTGCCTCACTATGGTAACACCTAGAGCTTGGCGGGCTGAGGAGCGGGTGGGAGTGGGCAGGCCATCCAGGGAGAGCAGGCTTCCTCTCAGCAGTGGGGAGGCTGGCTGGGAAGTGTTGCTGTTGAGGATGTCTTCAGCCGTTAGGCCAGCAAGTGAACCCTGGGCAGTTGGAGCAGGATCTGGTGTTGGGGAAGCTGAGGCTGGAGGAGACTCAGACAGCATCTCAGGCTGGTTCAGAGCACTTTTTCCCATCTAAAAGAAGAGGGTTCATTTAGTAATGCCACAGATCTCGCATCAAATTCACTCAAACAATTTAATGGCATTGAGCCATTAGATACTAAACACACTATTGAAAGGTTTTGGTCCATAATAACTTGTCAGCATACATTTTACACAGGTCCTGCTCACCCTATTCAAGGGCAGTTATAGTCTGGAGGGACCAATTATTCACAAAGACAAGATAAAATGGCCTCCCAGTTTAACTGACATTCCTATTGTGAGTTTAACAGGTCTAAATTCTTAGGACAACATTTGCTTCTTTTTCTATTTTGTGTTGGATCATGTTGTCCAGAAGTCTCTCAGTTTGAGATCAGACTGTGAGAAGCTCTTCATGTACACCATACACATATATTCAACATTTTCAGACAGCTTGATGGTCAGTGAAAGTCCATGCAGTACATTACTCAATTCAGTTATATAAAGTTACGCTGTATTAAATTACTTTCATCAACCACACATTGTAATTGCAAATTATAAAGTTGATTAGACAAAGGCATGAGAATTTGTACTAATACGTTACAATAATGCTTAAACAGATGACACACCTTGCTATCGTGTATGGTATGAATAATTATGCACACATGGACAACAGATAGATCCAGAAACTGACTCATGCGAGAGCTTCCATGTGACAGGCTCTTTGTTTACCTTATCCCCAGGTTCCTTCTTCTCTGGTGTACTGGGAGTATCCGACAATGAGGGAAGGGTCTTTGGGGGACTGGAGCAAGCATAGGTCATGACAGAAAGCCTACTAGCGGTGAGAAAGATGTCGAAAGGGATGAAGCTGAGGTTCTTAGTAATGGTGGACTTGTGGGAGGGCCTAGCAATGCAGTGGTGGCTGGCCCCGCTCTGCTGCTCTATTTGGACAATCCGTATACAAGCACTGTCGCTGCCAAAGCCACTGTCCTGCCCGGTCCCACTGTGACGAGAGGAAGAGTCGGCGCTTGCTGCAGGGTCTCGACTGCGCCGCTTTTGTTCATGTCGATGCACCTGTACACAGAAACACTGAATGGTAAAACCATGTTGACAGTGATACAGTTTTTATTACAATGAAGTACACTGGAGACAGTTGCTAGAGGGAAGAGAAAATGGCCTTACTGTAAAAAAAAAAAATGTAAAAAAAATGCTTTTGTTGCTACATTTGACACAGAGTGTCAAAGCTACATGAGCAAATGATGATTTTTCAGAAGGCAACCTGAATGAATGTGACCGAATAGAAAAAAATGAATTGTTTTATGTTTGTGGCAAAAATGTCATTTAGGCCTATTGGCAGTACACAAAGGCTTGCTAAGTGGTGGCTAAATGGTAAGAACATTCTGTGCACACTTTACTGTTAGATATTTATTGACAAAGCAAAGAAAGAATACCAAAACAAATGCATTTTGACTTTATCAAATTTCTTTTGTGGAAATTGATATCAGCCAATAAAAACATAATGACCATACACAGATGCCATACCTTTGGATGAACTATGCAAACTAAAAAGCTCACTCCCACACATATGAACATGAAGGAATTATTACACTACATCCACTTTCATGAATGTCACAAAGATAAGAATTTACTTTGTAATAAATAAACTTCCTTATCTCAAAACCAAACCTAGTTGGCTTGTCAGCGTTACAGAGGAGTTAAGGGACTCAAATGACACTGGATGAACACTTTGTTTTTCTTTCTTTTTTATGAAAATTTGTACATTTGTTTCTTGTGCGAGTCCTGGCTTTACAAGAGGACATAAACCAAATAACTCGTATGATTGAAACCATGGACAAATTGACCAAAGAAGGAGAGCATCGTACAGCCACAGAGACATTAAAGGCATGCTCTAGGGCTTTTTTGTGGTTAAAAATCATTTTGCACTTCTTGCAATATTGGAAATGTCTTTTAAAAAAAAAAATTGCCTCACCCCGGCAAATCAAATTGTTTTGTACAGCGACTGTGGTATTGTGTATGAAGCAGCTGAGATTTTATGCTTGGCTCCAAGTAACGGATGTCGGAAGGGTTCCAGCCGTTGTGGCAATAAAAAGCTTTCAGTGACAGATGATATAAATCAATGTGAGTAGGTTGCTGGGTTTCGAGCAACAATGAGAACAGGAATCTTTACTCTGCTACCAAAGCATACCATCTTCAAGACTATAAAGAAGCCGCCAGTGGCTACTATGGGACATGAATAAGACAAACATATAGAACTAAATGCAACCTACCAAATAATAAATTACTGGGCATGTTTGTAGAAATGATGTGTTGAGTAAAAACTAAAACTAAACAAAAAGCTAGATTAAAGCAAAAGATTCTTTTTTTCTGACAAATTCCCAAGTGCATGGACATATTTTGAATATACTTGAAACCAGAGCAAACTAATGCGCTCCCCTTTTGCTCTGAAAGTAGCGTTGACACTGACAGAGGCAGAAACATGGGAAAAAGAGAAGACAAAGAGGGCACATGTAAATGCGTAAGGGTGTTCAGTTTATTCTGCCACCGTGTCACATGAACTATACAGTCTTTCTACAGCTGCAGTCCTGTTAGGTGCAGCTTGGACGACCTGGGCCTATTAATCATCATTTCCAACACTGTTACAGCATTATTGAGTTTCCCATCAATGTTCCTCTTCCATTTTAATTGGTACGATGTCAGTTTCAATTAGCTACTGCTGTCTCCTGAAACACGACTTTGATGAATTGTAAAAACACAGGAGACGGTCCAAAGGTGTGTTCTATTCTACCCCCCCGCCCTCCCACCCCCCCGCCATCTGCTCCAACCTGCACATGGTTACTATTACAGCATGCACTCCCAGCTGCCCCCTCTCTTTCTCACTCCCTCCCACCCACTCCATGAGAATTTTAAATGTATATTATTGCTGTGGCGGAGATAGTGTTTCAAGACCTCCAGGCAAATACTAAACCCACTGGCAGCACATTAGACAGAATACTTGACTTATTAGATATTTCCTATTCTAAACAGTGTCATCAAAGGCTAAGAACAAGAGCCATATAAAACGCAGCAGCATGCCTGCCCGCCTGCCTGTTCTGTTCGACCAGGCTCATGTGTGGGGCTTCCATAGAATCGGCCCTGCCAGATCCGTCTCCTTTCCCTGCCATAATGAGGACAGGATGTGTGCACTTCTTTTCTGCAGAAATGTAAGATTTTCCAAGCACAGGGAGGGGAGAGAAGGCAGAAAAGGGCCTGGACCTGTCTCCATGTGTGTTGTGTTAAGCGAGTGAAACTTGTATTGAGGTAAGGAGGTATTTAAAAAAGGTATTCAGCAATGGCAAAACGTCCACTCCAAGGAGCGCCCCACATTGGAAGGGACAAATAAGCTGCACAGCAGCTGGGAAAGAACAAGAGCCAGGAGAAACTGCCAGATACTCTTTACGCTTCTCTGTCTCTCTTCCCAAGCTTAGGCCGTACACATGCATTTACAATTACAGCAAATACCCCGTCTTTTCTTTAACCACCACTACTAAGAGAGTGCCCCCTAAGCAAATTCTTGGTCTATATTTAGATGTGCTTACAAGTGGAATAAGTTATAATGGGGAACACAATCGGGGGCATACAGGAAAAGAGACAATGCGAAAACATGCCACAGTGCACAGTGTTCATACAGTTTAAATCAACACATGCAATCAGTGTATTCACAAACATATACACATAAACACACATGACGTCAGTTACTTTCCCAGGATTTGATTTCAGCTAGGGTTCTAAAGCACATAACTGGCTTCTTCCCTGTGTTTCTGGGCTTAGTTATATCCCCGTTGTACTTACTGAAAAAAAAGAACAGGTATACACAGAAAACATATAGCTGTGTAGTCTATATGCATTAACTTTACGGCAATTTATTCATTGACAGAGGGCAATAAATTCAGAATACAAACATGGACTGTAGCTACAGGCCTGTTCCCAGCTGAAATCCCCTTTTCCAACCATTACTTTCTATTATATTATATAATGGCTGCACTGAAACGCTGTTTCCAGATCCCCATGCAATCTTTCTCTGGACTTAGTTGATCATGATCGTGAATGTGCAACTACACACATACACACACCCTCCACCCCCAACCCCCATCAGCCAATCGTGAGGTCATCCCCTCAGAGTCTCTAGGCAGAACATTCTGGAAAATGGAGGATAATCCCCAAAGTGTGAAACCATGAGTCTCCCAAGTGCCAATCATATCAGAGCGCATCTGTACGACTTCTGACCCCATTTCTGTCAGTGTAACTACGAACAGCTTGGCTAGAGGAAGGCTAATACGCGGAAGCAACTGTCACATCATCCAAATGCCACCCGTTTACAGTGTTGGCTGGCAAGTCGAATATGACAACATAACTTTTACATCTGAATACCACATATGCGGTTGATTGTTTCCAGACGAACAAAAAGGAGGTTGCAATTCAGGTTCAGAGATCAGGGAACATGAAAATCTGGATGTTTTAAGATGGTAGGGAAGTCCAATGGTAGTCGACAGGAAAGTATAAAATAAATACAGTCCAAGTAACAAAGGTGACTATTATTCCTTTCAAAAGGGTATATTTAATAGGCATATATTCCCATTGTAATCCATATCCAGTCAAGTTATACAATAAAGACTTTTAGAGTGCACAAGGTTACTGCAGATACACAAAAGCACCAAAAAGACAAACGTGTATTCATTACATTTTAAGGGTGCAGCAAAATGCCTAAAAAAACATTTTGCCTGCAAACCTGACAATGTATTGCCAGACAGAAATTAACTACATGAGAATGTGTAACATTCTCATAGAACACTCAATAATTATGACAGCAAGGCAGCTCACTAAATAGCAGGGATGATCCAATCAAGTTGTTTTTGAACCCATCTGATCCAAGTTGCATATCTAGTATCTGCCAACGGTAATTTCCTCAGTAATAGAGACTTAAGATATTGCAAACCACCTGTAGTACCTCATTCTTAGTACCTGGTTTAATACTGTAGCAACCAGAGGAAGTATGCATCTCTGTGTTGGCAAGCAGAGACCATTTTAAGGCTTTACCTAGCAAATGGACACCATGACAATGTCTTCCGCGAGGCCTAATGGCCACCGGTCAGGGTGCATGTATTAAACCATGTCAGAATTGATTAGAATATCATCTCTATATGTAATGGCTGCTTTCACAGGCTTATTGAACTTTAGTGCTTTGTGAAAAAGGTCATCATTACAGAACTACAAAGGCGTCACAAAGAGCCAGAAACAGATTAAACGTAACATTTTTAGCAGTATTATGCTTTGTCACTTTTCTCTATCAGAGTTAAATGTTTTTTTAAAATTTTTTTTTACCTTTGATAAAAAAGGAGAAATACTGTGGAGAGAAAACAAACTCTACAATTAGAATCATGTTTTACGTTAAATGCAACCAGTCACAGGCAGTTACAGTAGCCAGAGTAGTGAGTTGAGGTCAGCTTACTGAAGTGAGCCACTTCTCACGTATTTCATGTTGAAAAATTGTTTACTGTTTACCACAGTTTTCCCATGTTCTCTTGTAGAATTCCCATTGAAAAACATGGGAAGTCATTACTAAATCTTTTTGACAGTACAATTCAGTTGAGCTACTTGCTTGCAGGATGCCTGCATGGAAATTAACTTCTGTATCTTGACTACATCAAAGTTTACAGGTTCAGCCCCTGCTGTGCTATCCACTTTTGTTTACCAGAACCATGAAGCTGATAGCGGGCCTCTGTGCCTTTGTGCTGATGGAAGAAAACCTCAATGCAGCAATACCTCATCTTAATCAAAAATAATAACAATAATACTTAACCAAATGCCATTAGGACCGCAATTCATTCTCTCATTTTCTTGTGGAAAACAGAGGGGGGAAGACATTTATAACATGAAGTCACTGCTTTGTACGCCATAACATCGGTCACAAAGCAAAAAAAAGGGCATCAAAGGCAGTCATTTAATACACTGAACTTTGTTTCAATAACAAAGGCAACCTGCTATGCACTTCAACTGAACCACAACAAAGAAGCAAT